GAGCGTAGTGACATAATAAAAACTCATGGGAGTCATAAAAGTCAATTGAAGTCGTGTTTTGTGTTAATAAAAGAAACTGTGATCAAAGAACTTTGCATTTAAGAGACCAAGTTCCCAGAAAGACATACTTTGTTCTATTGAACTATTCTAAACCACACCTTATAATAAAAACCCGTTTTGAGACGAAATCTCTTGAGACTTGAACCTAAGAAGACAAAAGTGGTATTTCTTAATACCAAAGGCCCTCGAACTCATGCACTGAGATTGTGATAGTGTGTGTGTGTGTGTGTGAGTGAGTGTTTAGGTGTTTAGGGTTTTCCCGACGCGCTTGATCCTTGTTCGAGTGTTTCGCACTTTCACGGTCATCCCCGTGCAACGCGTATCACTGGGCCCTTGTCGCCGTTCATTGTTGGTCGTGGTGGTCGTTGTCGGCGAATGTCGCACCTGATACTGCCAGTACTATGTATCAGGTATAGTCTATTGACTAAGTCTACCTATGCATCACAGCAGTCAATTGACCAACCTTCCTAATCAGGAAGGTAGCCTTGCTGAGCTCCCTAGAGCCAGCCTTGGTGCTCACTGATTCCCACGGCTTGCTCACTGTTTTCAGGGTCCAAAAGCGCACTTCCAAATGTGGTTGTTTCAGGGTCCAGGGCACATTGCCAAATATGGAAATGTGTGCTTATCTAAAGGAAAAATAGCAATAAAATAGCAGAAAAATCAGAAAAAAATGGGGGATGGTGGTTATGATGGTAGGTTGTTTTCAGGGTCCAGGGGATGTCCAAATATGGCAATCTATCCAAACATGGCCAGAAAATACCCGAAAAATCAGGAAAAATTGGGGGATGGGGTGATGATGTTAGGTTGTTTTCAGGGTCCAGGGGCTATGTCAAAATATGGTAATCTATCCAAAAATAGCCAGAAAATACTCGAAAAATTAGGAAAAATTGGGGGATGGTGGTGATGATGTTGGGTTGTTTTCAGGGTTCAGGGTCTAGTTCCAAATATGGTAATCTATCCAATGATAGCCAGATAATCACCAAAAAAATCAGAAAAAAATACAAATGGTTCCCACTGTTGATGATGATGTTCAGGGTTCAGGGCAACATCCAAATAAGG